CCTGACCTCATGATCCGTTTGGGCCCTATCTATCTTATTTATTTATTTATTTATTTTGAGACGGAGTTTCGCTCTTGTTACCCAGGCTGGAGTGCAATGGCGTGATCTCGGCTCACTGCACCCTCTGCCTCCTGGGTTCAGGCAATTCTTCTGCCTCAGCCTCCTGAGTAGCTGGGATTACACGCGCCACCATGCTCAGCTAATTTTTTGTATTTTTAGTAGAGACGGGGTTTCACCACGTTGACCAGGATGGTCTTGACCTCTTGACCTCATGATCCACCCGCCTCGGCCTCCCAAAGTGCTGGGATTACAGGCGTGAGCCACCGTGCTCGGCCCTGGGCCCCATCTAACCAAGGCCACTTGGTGCAAACCTCAGAGGTGTCCCTTCCTCAAGGCCTTTGACTGCCACCTGCTGGAACCCTGTAGTACTGCAGATTTGAGATGTCTGATTTGTGAGTGGTTGCACCTTCAAACGTGGTGGTTACCTGCAGTGCTCAACATGCAAGATTTTTTGAACCATATGACACCCTCCTCCTACAAGAATGGAGACTCACAAGCCGTCCTTTTGTCCCTTCAGGAGCACCTGGGACAGGGGTTTGTTGGCAGGGATGGTCTGCAGGATGCTGCCATCTGAGCTTACGTAGCCGATGGCCCACTGCCCCAGGCGAGTACAGCTGGGCCGGAAGATGTAGCTGGAGGGAGAGGGAGGTAGAAAGTGGTGAGGGAGTGGTCACCACCGTCCCTTCTGCGAACTCCCAGTCCCCCGACCTGTTGGGAATCCAGGTGTCTAAGTCCTCGCCCCAGCTTCCCACCCTTTAGGCAACGTGCTAGAGCCCTGCCTGCCTCTACAAGGATATCTGCTGTTTTTGCCTGCCTGGGTCTTTCACAATAAACACAGTCCTTTTCCATTTGGAGAGCTCTTCCCGCTTCACTGCAGTTTAAACAATGCTGGGTTGGCCAATCAGTGCATCTCAGGACCCCTGACCACAGTGATGGAAGCCCTTTCTGGGACTTTTGTTGGAAGCATCAGAACAAGGTGCCCTCTTTCTTACAGAGGCTGCTAAGAAGACGGGGTACACAGCTGGGACTTCTAGAAGTCATTTGTCACCATGAGGACAAACCATGTTTGAGAATGAAGCCAACACAGGAAAGCAGAGAAAGGGGATGAACAGAAACTGACCCCTGACAATTGCTACCGAGCACCTGGATGTAGCTGTGCCCAAAACCCACAACCTGGTCTTCTTTTCTTTTTTCTTTTCTTCCTTTTTATTTTTGAGACAGAGTCTCATTCTGTTGCCCAGGCTGGAGTGCAATGGCGCAATTTCGGCTCACTGCAACCTCTGCCTCTCAGGTTCAAGCGATTCTTATGTCTCCACCTCCTAAGTAGCTGGACTACAGGCCACGCACCACCATGCCTGTCTACTTTTTGTATTTTTAGTAGAGACGGGGTTCCACCATGTTGGCCAGGCTGGTCTCAAACTCCCAACGTTGTGTGGTATGCCCACCTTGGCCTCCCAAACTACTGGGATTAAAAGTGTGAGCTACCACACCTGGCCTGGCCTTTTCTTTTTTTTTTTTTTTTTGGAGATAGAGTCTCGTCCTGTGACTCAGGCTGGAGTGCAATGGCGTGATCTCGGCTCACTGCCACCTCTGCCTCCCAGGTTCAAGCGATTCTCCTGCCTCAGCCTCTTGAATAGCTGGGACTACAGGCGTGTGTCATCACACCCAGCTGATTTTTTTTTAATCCTTAGTAGAGACGGGGTTTCACCATGTTGGCCAGGCTGGTCTCAAACTCCTGACCTCGTGATCCACACTCCTTGGCCTCTCAAAGTGCTGAGATTACAGGCGTGAGCCACCGCGCCCAGCCTGGCCTTTTCAATTACGAGAATTTGTTCTTTTCTTTTTCTTTTCCCTTAAATCCGTTGAAGCATAACTGGAAGAGTGCTAATGCCCTCAGCTTCCTACCCCTGCACCTCGGCCCTGCAGAGACTCACAAACCTGACCTCCTGTTCTCTTGGTATTCTAGACATCTCAATTCTCAGGGGGACCCGACAGCGCAAAGCTCTTGGATTTAAATAATTTAAGGACTCACATGTCTAGTTTCTCGGTCTCCCACCTATACCAATAGGTGGGAAAGTCATACTCAAAATATTGAACAGATGGTGCCACATGGCTCTGACCTAGCAGAAATGGACCTTACCCTGAAGCAGGGTTTTTGGGCTACTTGTAGACCAGGGACTGTCCCTTAGCTGCAGGATTATGGGACAGTATGGGAGGTCTTGAGAGAAGAGGCAGACTGGCAGGGGCGCTCAATATCCTGCCTCTGAGCTATTAACTCTCTGGGGTCCCAGGTACCTCCGTTTCCACTCTTGGAAGGACATCTGAGCTCCACGCTGCACCAGCCCAGAGCCCAGACCCCGGAGCCCTCAGCCTGGTTCCCCTGAGTCCTGGACCTTTACCTGCCTGGCCTGTCCGTGTAGGCCTGCAGACGCTCCTGGACCTCATCGTAGGTGAGGAAGGCCATGTAGCCTGGGTGGTTGACTGCCAGGAGCTGCCAGTTCTTGAGGAGTGTTGGCCATGGCTGTGGAGGGGCAGGCCTGGGTCACGGAGAGACCAGGGGAGCAGCTCACATCCCTAAGCAGTCCCCAGGACCCGACAATCCAGCACCTCCTTTACACCCATGGGGCCTCAGGCGTATCCCTTTTACAAGAAGACCCCAAGCCCTTCTTTCTCCAGGATTCAGGAGTTTTCGACCTTAGCCCCCTCCTCCCTCAGACCCAGGAGTCCAGGCCACCAGCCCCTCCTCCCTCAGACCCAGGAGTCCAGGTCCCCAGC